TTAAAGGTGTGTGTGTGTGTGTGTGTGTGTGTGTGTGTGTGTGTGTGTGTGTGTGCGCGTGCGTTTTGAAGGTGAGACGTGAGGCAAGGAAGGATGGTTTCATTTGCAGTTTCTGGGTGTGGTCTGTGAACTCACTGCAGTGTGATGTGCGGTGTTGTCTGAAGGATGTGTTCTAAAGATAAAAACTTCTCCAACAAGTATCAGAACGTCCAATAGCTAAACCACTCTTTGAAATCCTAATGAGTGAATGTAGAAAAGGACATAAATACTTTCTACTAATGACATAATTTGTTTTTTGAGGACAATGGCACAAAGGAAAGTGTTTACCTGAATGCTGTACTTCCATAACAGCACCTGTTTCACTCCTGAGGTGTGAACTTTCCCAGGAATGCATGCAGACCTGACGTCACAGCAGTTGTACTGGCTGAGAGACAGGCTTCCTGCTGATGGTAGTGATGGTATCGGTGGCATTCAGGCAAGCAGGGAGAAGTAGAGGAACCGGTTGGTCCTGGTGAATGCTGCATACAACCAGAATGTTTATTATATGGAGAGAACAGGTTACATTGCCTAAAGTAGGACAGGAGCATGAGGATAACCTGATTGAAACCCCAGGCAAGCAAACTTAGTAGTTTTATTTCAATCATTAATATCTTTGGTACTTTTGTAGTACGATATCTGAAATCAAGCAAAAATAAATCCCATAAAAGAGTATTTCCAGTGAGACCCTCATCATTACAGTCTCCGTGCCTGGCAAATGCTCTCCCCTTTCATGCTCCCAGTTTGTAACATAGAATTTCCAAGTCCTGCAGACATTGTCAGGGTTATTTTCTGAGACTTAAAAACGCTGATCCAGAGCCACAGAGGACAGATTCATCTTTTTCCAGAGACTTATTACTGCCCTCATTCACCATTAAACTGATTGTCATTTGAAATTGGTAGTGATCCTTTAAGAATTTTTAATTCATTCTATACAAAACTCAGTTCTATCTACAGTTAGATGTTTTCTGTCAAACTTGAACACAACACAAAAAATGACCTGACCTGGTCTGACCTTGTCTCTTGCTTCAGGTGAACAATGTGTCTGGTGACCCAGAGGTGCTGGTGAATGACCCTAATCCCAAATTTAGAGGGTCCAGAGACTATTTGGACCAACTGGACAACAACAAGCCTCTTTACCTGCCAGGGTAAGCTATGCACCTTGAAGTGCACCTCACAAGGGCTTTTCATATGCGGATAAAAAAAGCGTTACAAAGCTGTAGCAGCAATGAAATTTAAATAAAAGATACTCAACGAGGCAAAACGTAATCAGTGATTGTATTTGCAGAGACTCAGACATCAGCAGCTCTGTGGATGTCCTGAAGCACAGGCTGAAGGACTATGACACTGGTGTGGAGTCTGGAGATGACCTGGAGGAGGAGGACTTCTCAGTGTAAGTGGATGTAAAGGAATCTGATAGCAAATTATGAAAAAGCTGCTTTTTTTTGATGAATGACAGTTTTTGGCAGGGATTTATGTTCATTTCTTCACCATAAATCCATCTTGTGTGTGTTTTACCCAAATATATGTAAAGAGGGCATTACTAATAATGGCTGATTATCACATGATAAATTGCTCAAATTTCTTTCGGTTTTCATTTGCAGTTTGTTTCCTCCCATTTTGGATGAGCAAGAGCGTCTAATCTACAAGCGGGAATTTGACCAAGATCATCGGGAGTACAAGAGCCTGCAGGCTGAGCTGGACAGCATAAACCAGGACCTGGCTGACCTGGACAGAGAGCTGCACCAACACCCTGAAGGCAGCCCGCAGTTCTTGGTAAGTGTGGCAGTGCCACTTGAGGTTTACTTCTTTTAAGTAAGGGGGAGCACTCCACTCTTCTTTTAAAGAGCTTTTCTACAATGTGTAGTAAGGGACTGCTCTTCATTTATCAGAAAAGGGGGTGGCTGGGGGGGTGAATACATGTGTTTCTTTTTGTGTGTGTGTGTGTGTGTGTGTGTGTGTGTGTGTGTGTGTGTGTGTGTGTGTGTTCTTTTAAATATTTTTCTTTTAAACTCCCTGAGTGACTGGGAAAATGCATGACCCTCCCGCCACCATTAAAAGGCCTTAATCTTTTTTTCTTTTTCTTTTTTAATATTCACAACAAATGTAAGTTTTGGAGCCAATGCAACAAGCAAACAGCACAGGAGTGAGAGTTATGACAAAAATGAACAGCGTATTTCTAAAGCAAAACGCAAATCTTCTTACAAATTGCATTGTTATTAAACAAGCTGTGTGCACTGTAGCAGAATATGGGTGGATAGCAGTCATCTCACAAAACCAACAAAATTTAAGAAGCTTACAAATTATTATTTGTTATTATATTTATTACATACATACGCATGTGCGCATCACAGTGTGCACACAGTCAGCAACGTGTGCATAATGACTGTTTTCCCAGATGAACCGTAACATAACGTAACAGTGGCAGCAGCAGCTGGTCAGAATGAATCAGAATCAGTAACTTGGCACGGTGGATGTTATTAGATTTTTAAAACTTACCCTTTGATCATTAAAAGTAATAAGTTAAAAACAAAATCTGAGAGTTGAAAAAAGCCTTGCTTTTATCTGTTGTCATACAGAAGTGCAGAATTTAATGTTTATTAAAGGTTCTGGAACGATTTATGTTTGGTGAAAATTTTAAATGACACATGTAGAATACAATGATTGTGATGAAATATCACTATTTTAAGGTTAGATTTGGTTATGAGTCCTGCTGGAAGTCTTCATTGCACATGCTGTAATCAAGAATTTGAATATCCAACAAAAAAATCTGTTTTTACCGTTTCTGGCCATGGTAAGTGGGGTTATTTTGCCTTTTTTTCTTTTTTTTCTTTAAAGAAACTGCGCTCTTCAAACCCGTCAGCTGGTTTGGGGGTTCAGATGTTTAAAATGAATACAAAATTCAACCATATAAAGTTGAATGTCCCTCCCCTAAGCCAAAATGAAAAAAATATAAGCTCCTCCTCAGTGCTTAAAAAAAAAAAAAATTATCATGCCTCACCCTTTTGCACCACTCCCCCAATCCCTCATAAATAATGAACAGTCCCTTGTAAATACAATTGTATTGTCATAGTCGTTCATATTGGTTCCCCCTAATATTGCTGAAAATACAGTAACCATAAAGGGAAAGTATGCCTAATTCAGACACCTGATTGCAGGGGCAACTTAAATTTTGGATGACAAGGGTCAAGGGCTGGAAAACTTTGATTCCGCATCAGTCAAATTTGTGTGTGAATCTGGGATGATGCTTTCCTCTGAGTGGTCACTTTATATTATTGATCGCTATCTCTCCAATCTCAGGATGCCATGGATGAATACATCAAATTGAAGAATGTCAAGAAGGTAAGTCAATTTCAGTGATTTCCAGCAGTGTTTTCTCCAGATTGAAATACATTACTCTGAAAACAGAAAAGAGGTTTGGTGAATAAACTGAATTATTTTTTTTTTAAATCTTTTGCAGTCCCCAGAGTACCAGATTAAGAAGAAGAGGTGTAAATATCTCAGGTCCAAACTGTCACACATCAAGAGGAAGATCAGCGAATATGATCGCCGGCCTTAAACCTTCACCTCTGACCCCCTCGCGCAGGGAAAGAGACAAATTTGCAATTCCCTACCCCGCTGTGTTTGAGTTTATCACAAATCTAGATGGGGTTACTATAGTGAAAGCCTGTTGCCTTTGTATTGCATCTGTATCAAGCCAATCAACTGTAATTTATATATTTATCCAGAGAAAGGGTGAAGGAAATTGTTATCGTCTTTGATCAGTTATTCAATGAAGAACTATTGAGGTGTACAAAATGTTTTTTATTTTTAAGTCAGAAAGTGAGAGATGTGATATGAGATGTTTTTCAGTACTTGTTACATTTATGAAGCAGTTAAAGTGCTTCTTTTATAGCCTTTTAACGAGTTTGACACTTTTATGTAAAATGAAGGCACAGCTTAGATGAGACATGCATTTGCTTGGCCTCATTGAAACACTGACCATCCCTTGTAAATAATGTTAATTTTAGACTTTTGAAACAATTTTAATTGTTCTTTAGTAAGATTTTTTAGTGCTGGAGTTGGTGAAACATATGTGATTGTAAGTCTTTGTTGTAGCCTGTAGACTTTTATCATGATAGATATTAAAAGAAGCTATGGAGGCTCAGTTCCCTTTAAAAGTGTCTAATTAACATTTGTGTTACATTTGTTTTTTACTCTCATGAATTTTATTTCTCATTTCAATGTTATCCAAAAGCAAATGATTTTATATTCCCACTGAGTCAATATTTTTTATTTTGCGTATTTTGTATTAGTAGAAATCATGCCTGTATGTTTTGGTGTGCAATCCATGATATACTGTTTAAAGTGCAATCATCCGTTTGAACACAGGAATGTAAGCTTTCAATAAAAAACAACAATTAACTTAATAAGCTCCTTTTGTTTACTGTGTCTGAAATAACATGTTAATATGAATCCACTGAAAATAAGACCTGTCATCGTCAATATGGGTAGCAGTGTGAGACACAGTCAAGCCAGTCTCCATGCCGAAAATAACAGTATGGCGCCCCCACGCTGTTTTGCGGTGTGTAGCCGGCCTATGGCAGGCATGGTAAGAGCAGACTTCAAAATAAAAGCTATGTTCCGGTGAATCACATTTATTCAACAAGTAGGTATGTCAGTAAGTCTGTAAATAATAAATAAATGATTTAATAAATACATGAATTAATTATACATAAATATAGGCTATAGAAAACGAAAATGGATAAATAAATCAAAACGGATGGGCTCATAAGAGATATGAAATTAAAAACAATACCAACCGCCTGAAAACTGCATTTCGGACAAAAAATTAGGACTCCAAATGTGTTAATACTCATTACGTACGTAATATACCTTCGACGTTATGTATTCAATAATAGTTGACTGAGCGGATGCTTTTCTCTACAAGTCATGTTTCTCTCCGGAAAATAAATCCGTTGCACCAGCTGGTGTTGCACTAAACCGGTGCTGTAGGTACAACTGATTGTTTTGTTCATATTTTTTTGATTTGTAACTAATGCAAGCGTAGTGAGATAGAAAGTTGTATCACACACATTGTTAAGGTATTGACTAGATTATATATATATATCATATTTTGGTTTACGTTAGCAGTTTTAGTTAGCCTTAGGTAAACTAACGTTAACGTTACCTCCAATAAAGCTCGTGAACACAATTGTTAGCTAGCTTTCTGTATTTAAAGTTGTAGCTAGCTATGTTAATGACTTCGAGTAAAAGCGACATGTGGCTAAGAACTTACTTTATCTCACTGCAAAGATTAATTTGAAACAAGGAGATAATAAACATTATAATGTATATTATGTACATAGTGCCGCTGAGGAACTGTAAGGTCAGCAAGCAATTCTGTTACCCAGTTAGCGTTAGCTATTATTTATAACGGTATTACGGACTATCACATATGTTAATGTTTTCTGCTTTGACACAGGGTCATGACAGACTCCATTCAGTATACACAGTCTTTAAGTAATGAATTGATGTCAGGTATACATTGTTAGGCACACAAGACATAATGACACAACACATGACGTGCAATGCTATTGATCAACTGCAAGGTCCGCAAATAATTCGGCTCAGGCTGTTAGCTATTTTTTTATGGTAACGTTAGCGGTTCTGATAATATTTACCACTGCCATAAAGTATACTTGCAGCTGATTAATACAATTCTCATTGTCTTTACTGCCTACTTTGTAGAACACAGACTTTTATGAATCATTATTGTCTTCTGATATATTTTATTAAACATACTAATATTTCACCAACCAGTTTTAGATGTAATATTTTATTAAAATCAGGTTAGTTAGGTGAGAAGTGACTCCTTCCTGTGCCACGAATGGAGTTTGACAGTCTTTGCAGTAGACTTATGTACTAATGTAAAGCTGCATTTTCTCTGCTCTTAAGCTATTAGCATCACTTGAATTTCTGGCTGACAGACATAATGGATGAAGAACCAGAGAGAGCCAAGCGCTGGGAAGGGGGCTATGAGAGGACATGGTAAGACCTTTAACATATGGAAACTTCCACTTGAGATATGTGTTGTCATTTGATGCAACATTGCGGAACGTACGTATTCTCCTACAGGGAGGTGCTGAAGGAGGACGAATCTGGCTCACTGAAAGCCACAGTGGAAGAGATTCTGTTCCAGTCCAAAAGGAAAAGGTGTGTGTGTGTGTGTGTGTGTGTGTGTGTGTGCGTGTGTGCGCGCACGCGCGCAAGTTTGAAATGCATTTTGCTTCACGTGCTCTTTTTTCTGATATCAATGTATGCAACACTGTATTGTCTGTTATACCAACCGTATCTGCTGCTTTGTTTACCTCATAGGGTGATCGAGAGCCATGGACAAGTGAGGCTTGGAATGGTGTGTGAGTTCTGCCTCCTTTCTGCAGAGCCTTGTGCTTCATTTATCTGTATGGTTCTAAACCCCATGGTGTCTAAGATCTCATGCCAACATGGTGGAAAATTTTACAGAGGATTCTAATTTTTCAAAGACCAAAATTATGCAACTTTTGGTCATCACTGTATATAACATTATTGTTTTGATATATTTGACATCTTCATCATTAGACAAAAAGTGGAAGCATTTTTATCTCTGTTTCACAGTATAACTGTTAATATAACATACAAGTCATAAATGGCATGGTAGCTTGTAACACGGCAAAAACAACCCAATTTCAAGGTAATGTTGCTGATTGGAATGCTTACAAGAAATGAGCTAAGAGCTTTAGCAGTTCAGTGTTATACTGGTCTGTTTGCAGTGCAGTGCACAGGAATGGTTTTGGTTAGGGTTAGGGAACACTGTACTAGGGACCACTTTGGACACACCAGCATTAGTTAAGTGCCATATAAAGATTAGTATATTTTGATGTCAGGAAAATAAAATATCATGTTAAGATCATAAAGATGTTAAAAAATGTCACGTTCTGTAGATGCGTCACCTCCAAGTGGTGATTGACTGTTCAAGAACTATGGAAGACCAGGACTTGAAACCAAACCGCCTCACTTCGACTTTGAAGGTAAATTCTGTTGCAGAGCCATCACACTGTACATCAGCAGCAGCTATGTAGTATTATTAGCTGTAAAGCACCTTCTCCTTTTTTCCTTCTCTCCTCAGCTGATGGAAACTTTTGTTGATGAGTATTTCGACCAAAACCCCATCAGTCAGGTATGTGTATACAATCATGTCTTTTCATGTTTTACACTGAACACTACTGAGACTTAACTTTTCAGGTTCGGGTGAGTTTATTTGAGAAAAAGTTATTTTCCTGTATGAAGATGCCGTTAATAAGTGTAGGTCTGCACCATCCTGTTGCAAGTACACAGGAATAGGGTTGTGTATTGGCAAAAATCCAGGGTTACAATACATATCACGATACAGAGGTGATGATTCGATATATTGCGTTATATTGCAATACTTTAAGCAAGGCGATAAATATGATTTTTTTTTTTTTTTTTTTCCAAAAGAATCTAATTTATGGATTTTATGGACTCAGATTCCACCTTCGGTCACCTGTGTTTGCTAACACGACACTCCAGAGTCTGGCCAGGCTTTTACGCTTGCGAGATCTTGTTGTTTCGGTGGAGTGGAATAGTTAAACGGCCGTGTGACTGCTGGTAACTAGCGGTAGGAGGGTTAAATACAACACACAAAATAACCACTGCCAGAAATGTTTGCATTTAAACTACTGATTAAATATCAGTATAGTACTTTTGAGAATCAATACAGTATTGCATAACAAAATATTGTGATATTTTAACGTATCGATATTTTCTTACACTACTACACAGGAATAGAAGGGTTCCCGACCCTGTTGCTGCACTACCAAATGCTTTTGTCCTGGGTGCAGGCTGAATGTTAAATAATCCATGAATGAATCAGTAGTTAAAAAAATCATCAGTTGTTGCTGTAGTTTGACTGAATGCCATTTTACAGGTTCTTATGGTATTGTATCCCTTGTCATTGAGGGGAACTAAATAAAGCAGCAACACAACAAATGTTCAAGCACATTTGTTAAAGCACCACAACACTGCTCCTTTCAGTCCCCATTTAGATGCTACATACTTTGTTCTATTCTACTTTTTAAGACTTCATGATATCAATTCCATTTTCCAACAATATAACTGTATTGTATCAACAATGCACCGAATCATTTTTGACTGAACTAATTTGGTGGCTGTCAGACACATTTGTTGCAGCCCTGAAAATGATATGAAGTTGATGCATTATATCTGAATCATTTACTGTCCATTTCAAAACTTTCACTTTTAAAAGCTTATGTTTAATACACTACTATGAGACCCTTACTGTGCCCCACTAACAAGCGTCTGTCAGGTTATGGGTGATAACTTGTAGAAAGCTTCTGTGACAGTGTTGCGGGATAGCATTCTGTCATTAGTGCTGTTAGTGAATGCTGGCGATTTCAGTGGACAACTCACAACTGCACTTTTCCTGTGCGACCTTCAATTATATGCCTGCTTTCCGAATGTGGCACTCAGTCATCAACACTTTGAGCATCCCTGATTTAAATAAACTACAAATCACTCTTATCTCATGTTATCAACCATGTTAAGTGATGCATATTGTAAAGGTGTATAAGGAAAGTCTTACAACCATCATTCACAACAAGACAGAGATTCGAGCAGCTGGTCATCCATTGATAAGCTCTTCAACAAGCAGACATACGAAACATAAGATTGGGTTTGTCTGGGGTGTGGTGGTCAGATAACAAAGACACTGAGCAGGAATGGTACTGTACATTTTTTGTCAATGGGAAGTTTAAACATAGCTGTGGACTGGACCTTCAACAAGCTGTCAGTAGCCTAACAGCATGTTTTGTGTGTCTTCAGCTGGGCATTATCATCACAAAGAATAAAAGGGCGGAGAAGCTGACTGACCTGGCAGGTGAGGATCACATAAACTGACAATGTTAGACTCGACCCATCAGTTTAACGCCTCAATGAGTTTCATCATGAGCTCCCTGTACAGAACAGTGAAAATGTTTTAGCTTTATCTTTTTAACAAACAAGGGCATGTTATCAGTGTTAGGATTTCTCATTTAAACCAGTTGTCACTACTTCAGAAAAAAATATCACATCACTGTTAATGATGCTGCAAATAAAGCATGTATGACCGCCATTTAAACAGCACCCAACATCACTGCATCTAGAGAAAGCTCCTCTCCATTCAGTGTCCAGTCTGTTGAGTTACCCTATGTAGTTTTCATGAGATGTGATGTGTTGTTTTGTTTCACCACCAGGAAATCCAAAGAAGCACACTGCTGCTCTGAAGAAAGCAGTGGACACTGTGTGTGTAGGAGAGCCATCTTTGTACAACTCTCTTAACCTGGCCATACAGACCCTCAAGTAGGTTGTGCAGTGTTTGTGTTCTAGATAGGTTTGTGTAATATCACTGAATGTCACTCAGCTGGTGTCTGTCTTTGTATGAAGGCACATGCCTGGACACACGAGTCGGGAGATCCTGATCATACTCAGCAGCCTCACGACATGTGACCCAGCCAACATCTGTGACCTGATTAAGGTAAGGTCACAGCTAGGGCTGTACAGTTTACAAGTTGGGTTTCCATCCAAATGTTGTGCAAATTTTAACCACATTTTTAGAAAATTGGCAAAAGAAAATGCAAATTTATCCACATTTCCATCCACTACTGTCTTATGCTGTTATTGGGAGTTCATCAAGATAAGCAGTAGGTGGTGCTAATTCTCCAGTCAGAAGTTTGCAGAAGAAGAGGGTACAATGAAATGACGTAGTAAGAGCAAAAGAGCCAAGAGACAAACAAACAAAAATTATGGATGTATAATAATGGGGAGCACACAGGACAATGGAAAAAGAGAGTTTTTAATAACTAATAGTACAGCTCTGTGCTCGTGGAAGAGTTCTGGTAACACCCCTGTGTACTTAAGCGTGTTAAAAGTCTTCCAGAGATGATGGAGAGAGCTTACCATGGCCTATACAATGATGGTACAGCATGACTGTATGTCGTCCTCAATTCACTAAATCTGTTTCCATCGCACAAAGTCACATTTATCAATACACCAAAGTTTCCACTTCCCCCAAACTTTTTCTTGTGATGTTTAGAGATTTCTTTTTAATTTTCGGCATTTCATGTGTCATTTATAACAATATAAATACTGTCATGTGCCTCCTCTGTCAGACCCTGAAGTCTCTGAAGATGCGGGTATCTGTGATCGGCCTGTCAGCAGAGGTCAGGGTGTGTACAGTATTGACCAGGGAGACGGGCGGCTTGTACCATGTTATCCTGGATGAGAGTCACTTCAAAGAGCTGCTGATGCTGCATGTCAAACCACCTCCAGCCAGCTCCTCGTCCGAATGCTCTTTAATACGCATGGGTCAGTATTCAGACACTGTGTTTAAGACACTTTGTTTAAGAATCAGCTCCTCTTCTGTTTCTAAAGTGAACATAAAACACATCAGAGCTATGAGATACCAAGTGTTGAAGGGATAGTACAAATTTTGAAAAGGGGGATTGTTTGGGGAACTTAACAATAGTCTGTGTATTACATACAGTAGATGTCACTCAACACACCCAGTTTAGCTGACACAGAAACTAAGCATTGTACTGCTGTGGATGAGGTCAGCAGCAAAATGTATTTTAGCTACCTAAAAAAGTCCTACCTAAAAAAATGAATAGTAGCTCAAGTGTATGCTATATTGAGAGTTTTCACTGCTTGACCTTGCCGTCAGAAGGGCCTTTCCAACGTGGATGCTGTTAACAGCTTCGGGTTCACATCTATGCTCTTATTAAAGCCACCAGACTCCATTGACAAAAAAAGTAATTTTAGCTTGCTGAACATGGGAACGCTGGTCTAAAGCTGCCTCGATGAGGTAAACCCTGTTTCCACCAAACACTTTCAGTATAGTACCTTTGAAACCAAAAGTAACCCTTCAGACATGTTACCTAGACCCAAGGTCCATTTAGCGTTTCCACCGCAAACAGTAGTCTTAAATGTGGGCAGGGCTGTTGTCACTCATTGCTCAGTCCAGCGCTCGCTGTATTTCCTCATTACCGGTGACACAGATGGACCACAGAACGAGGTTACACGCAGACAGTTTCAAAATAAAAAATAGAACAGGCTGCGTGAGAGTCTCTCTCCACGGAATATTTAAAAATAGCGGCTTTGTGCATTTAGTCCGTCTCAGTCGAGCGCAGGGGTTTAGTGTTGCCGAAGCCCCAAGGAAAAACGCTCCGCTACACTTTTTTTTTCTCCATGTAAGGAGTAGAATATATGCAGTTCATATAATCTGGTTGAATTAAGAAAAAAAAATTCAAACATTTGAGGATTCACTCATTACTAAAAGTGTATGTCATCCAAAAGAAACAATAAAAACTGATGGAATGGTCAAAGTTGTCATGTTGAAATTTAAGGTGTGTTGATGGATTCACATTGTTAGCTTATGCATTGAGTAATATTACAAGTAAATGTTCAACCTTTAAAGTTGCGGGCAGGCGGCCCAGTGAATTAAGTTATTTGTCTCTCAGACTGCAGCTGCTGCGAGAGGCAGCACAACATCATTTCATTTTATAATCATATTTTACTAATATATGTAAGACTTGCCACGGTATGAACAGTGGTCAGACAAGTTTCAAAACCAGCTACATCTCAACCCTGAGCAAGATGACCGTCCTCTATTGGCCAATCAACGGACAGCAGTATTCACAGCTCCACCTTTAAGTACCAGATCTGTGTGCTGGGTACCTCAACAGAGGGGGAAAAAATGGGGACAGAACGGAACGGTTCCATTGGTACCATCAGCAACTTTTGTGTACCGAACTGACCTGAACCGTACCGGACTGCTTGGTGGATATGGGGCTTTGGTTAGTTTGTGTTATTGTGTGACTTTGGTGAATCCAAACCTAATCTTTTAAATGCCAAAATAACACAGTAGTACAAAAAAAACTCATGGTAGCAGTAGACCAGCAGCTCCACTGTTTAGCAATGTTAAATTACCATTTGTTTTAATGGAGTCTGGCTTTGAAGAGAGCATTATGACAGTTCCCTGTCAGGGTAACTGAAGATGATTTTTTTTTTTAGGTGGCTAAAATACATTTTGTTGCTGACCTCTCCACAGCAGTACATTGTTAGCTTCCGTGGTGGAACGCCTGCCTGCTTCTCCAAACTGGGGGCATGCTGACTGCCATCTACTGTATACGCCTCATACAGCCCCACTTCTAGAGATCCAAACTATCTCCTGAAACACAGAAACGTAACAGCACTTGTAAACTGGCTGTAAGGCTGGGCATTCTGCTGCCATCACAGATTTAGGTCTTTGTCTTAAAACATTAACAATATTAACATGGGGGGGACATGACAGATACAGCTGGGATTCTGGTTGTTTACTTGTGACTTTTGTAGGCATAAAGATATCACTGTGAGGGCAATATGATGCATTTACCAATTCATTTTAATTTGCAGGGATCCACATATAACAATATTTTTCTCATTGTCAACAAATATCATGTGTTCCATTACTACCATGAACACACACTATAATTCAATTCAACTCAATTTTATTTATAAATATAAATATCACAAATCACAATTTGCCTCACAGGGCTTTACAGCATACGACATCCCTCTGTCCTTTGGACCCTCACAGCGGATAAGGAAAAACTCCCCAAAAAACCCTTTAACAGGGGAAAAAAAAGAGAGCAACTGAGGAGGGAGCCCTCTTCCAGGATGGACAGACATGCAATAGATGTCGTACAGAACAGATCAACATAATACATTTGCAGTAATCCATATGAAAAAATGATATGTAAAGAGAAAGAGAGAAACTGAGAGAGACAGAGTCAGAGAGAGATTAGTTTATATGCTGCCACAAATACTCACTAAAGCATCAAATGTGGATTAATCAGCTGTTGAAAATAGTCCCCAACAAATACATGTATGAGTAACATTTGTTAAAAACCCTAACATGTCTGTCTGTTGTAGGAAATTACTGAAACCCATTTGCGATTTTGAATGCCCCATTTTCCCATTAGACAAAAAAACAACCAATAAAATATTTCTTTTTGTTTCCATAAAATGCAACCATTCTTGCTTCTCATCAAAATATTATAATTATTTAAGCATCTACTGAATATCTGTCTCACACCCTCTTGTTTGCTCAGGTTTTCCTCAGCACACTGTCGCCTCTCTGACTGACCAGGATGCCAAGCCGTCATTCAGCATGTCGTAAGTTGAAAACGGTGTGATTTAAACTTCGTGGTCAGCACTGTGAGAAGCCACTTGGTGCTAAAGTGTCTCTTTGCAATATGCTCCTCTTCCCAGTCATCTGGACAGCAGCAGTGGTGGTGGTCTGACTCTGGGAGGATACTTCTGTCCGCAGTGCCATGCCAAGTACACAGAGCTTCCTGTGGAGTGTAAAGTCTGTGGTAGGTGTGATGGGACGAATCAGTCTGTGTGTCACTGTAAGATTAGAGGAAACCTTGATTCGTTTTCTCCCTGTGGCATCAAAAAAGTAATTCTCCTTGCTTATTTTAAAGTACTGTGTTTTCAAAACAATTGAAGCACCACAGCTGTGACGTGTGTGTTTGTTTGTGTGTGTGTGTGTGTGTGTGTGTGTGTGTGTGTGTGGGTGGGTGGGGGTGGTGTATTGTCTCCAAGGTTTGACTCTGGTGTCGGCTCCCCACCTCGCCAGATCCTTCCACCACCTCTTCCCTCTCCAAGCCTTTATAGAGAGTCCTGTGGAGGAGCTCCAAAAAGAGAGGTAGTTCTGACACACTCACAAACTCACACAGTCACACACAGATACTGTGCCGCCTCATATCTAAACCTGTCTTGATTTGGTTTCAGGTTCTGTCAAGCTTGTCAAGGGGAATTGAAAGATAAAAGTGTAAGTACAGTAGCTGGATGTGTGTCTGCATCTGGAGAGGCCTTTCAGCTGGTACTTTTCCCCTTTAAAGGGGCGCTCCCCATATTTTACCATTTTAGAAATTCATGCACTGGTGTTACAGATATTTCCAACCATAGGTACATGTATCCCAGGTTGTACTTCTGTTATCAAGGGGAAGGGGGTAAGCTCAGATCATTTCAAAAACTAGAACTTAGAAAATATACCCAGTTTTTACACATATTTGTTTTTTGGAGGAAAATAATCACACAAATAGGTTTACAAATCAGTGTTATGATCTTTAGTTTGGGGGGGGGGGGGCCTTATGCCTTTATTGGATTGTAACAGTATAGGGATGACAGGAAATTGGGGAAGAGAGAGTTTGGGATTGACACGCAGGTCCCAGGGCAGATGAGAACCATGGGCATTTCAATTCATAGACTGTGCCTAAAGGCACACACACACACCAAATCGACATCAGAGAACTACTTGCGATGAAGACTGTTGCGTCGCCTCATGTCAACTGTGTCTTGGCAAAAGGTCACACTTGAACACACTACAAAGACTACAGCCACCGGCCAACTAGCATGTAGGTTCTGAGCCTGCATGACAGGAAATGACTTCATACAAGCAGATGGCGATAGTCTGCATTTGTCATTCCAATAAGGAAACCAAAAGACTGACAGAACAGATTCCAGACGCGAGTTAGCACATTAATAACACAACAAAATAATGAAAGAATAAAGGCTATTTACAGTGCGCTGACGACCTGATATAACACTTTCGTTTCAACCTCACACCCTCTTAACTTTAAACGTTTGTTTACTTAGCAGCCACTAGAGCCAACAATGCAGGACATGCTGCAAAAAATTAGAGCGACAGGCGCACACTGATGGCTGACGTTGACCAACGGCTGACCGTTGGCTTTGTGTGTCTGGGTGCTTATACTTTGGCCACCCTGGTCTTTTTCATTTTTATTGTCACAATTACTGTCAATCTTCCAGGTAAAAAAGGCCACATTACAAACTTGAGGTGAGGAGTTTATTAGACATTTACCAGGCAGAGGAGAGATGCTGTGGAGTTGCATTATAGGAACTGCAGGAATCGGTGTCTTTGGGGCTGTCTCAGCCTCCACTGCTTCAATTTTCAATTTTAATATGTGGAGCTGCTGGGTGGTTGAGAAAAAAATTTTTGTATATACTCTGCTCAAAAAAATTAAGGGAACACTTCTCAAACAACTCAAACATCAGATCTTGATAAACTAATTATTCAAGTTGAAAATCTTTATTGATGTACATTGTATAGCTTGTTGAGAACAAAATGACAACAACAGTCAGTGGACCCAAAATCATCAACCCACTGAGGGCTGGATTTAGAATCGCATTAAAAATAAAAGTAAGAAATTAGAATCACAGGCTGTTACAACCGGTTTGAATTTTATCACAGCAACTCATAATGTGACTCAGCAGTGTGTATGGCCCCTGCGTGCCTGTACGTACTTACAGCAATGTCTGGGCATGCTCCTGATGAGTCGACGGATGGGGTGGGGATGGGGATCTCCTCCCAGACCTGGATCAGGCATCAGCGAGCTCCTGTTCCTCCTCACAAAAAGGAGCAGATACTGGTCCTGCTGCTCAGTGGATACCCTTCTATGGTTCTGTCCAGTTCTCCTTTTGTAACAGCATTGCACCTGTCTCCACTTTCATTTGCACCACAGCAGGTAAAACTGATTGACAATCACTTGTGCTTCCTCAATGGACAGATTGATATCCCTGAAGTTTAACTGACTTGGTGTTATACTGTTACCGATAAGTGTTCCCTTAATTTTTTTTAACAGTATATATTAGAATTTGTAAAATGTGTACCATTATTAAAAGAAAACATGAGTTATGAGGCAAAACACAATTTTTTTTATTTTAAGTGGGGTTCAAATTAAACTATGAGGCATCTTGAAATAGCACTACTATTAAACAAAACATAACAAAAACAAATACTGAGGTGGTCCCTGTTCGAAAGTTTACATACCCTTAGTTCTTAATATTGTGTATTGCCCCCTTTAGCATCAATGAAAGCTTGAAGTCTTTTGTGATAGTTGTGGGTGAGGCACCTTATTTTCTCAGATGAGAAAAGCTGCCCATTTTTATTAGCAAAAAGCCTCCAGGTCCTGTAAATTCTTGGGCTATCTTGCATGAACAGAACGTTTGAGATTTCCCTAAAGGGGCTCAATGATATTGTGGTCGAAGACTGTGATGGCCACTCCAGAACCTTTACTTTTTTCTGCTGTAGCAAATGGCGCGTCGACTTGGCCTTGTGTTTTTGATCATTGTCATGTTGGAAAGTCCAAGTGCGTCTCATGCGCAGCTTCCAGGCTGATGAAAGCAAATTGTCCTGCAGTATTTATTAATAACATGCTGCATTTTTCTTGCCATCAATTTTAACCAAATTCCCAGTGCCGCTGTAGCCCACACACCCCCAAAACATCAGAGATCCACCTCCATGCTTCACAGTGGGATGGTGTACTTTTTACCATAGGCCTTGTTGACTCCTCTTCAAACATAGCATTTATGGTTGTAACCATAAAGTTCAATTTTGGTCTCATCACTCCAAATGACTTTTTTCCACAAGTTTTGAGGCTTGTCTAGGTGCTGTTTGGCATATTGTAAGCAGGCTGTTTTGTGGCATTGGCGTATTAATGGATTTGTTCTGGCAACTCGACCATGCAGCCCATTTTTCTTCAAGTGCCTCCTTATTGTGCATCTTGAAACAGCCACACCATTTTTTTGTAGAGAAGCCCATATGTCAGCTGAAGTTATTTGTGGGTTTTTCTTTGCATCTCGAACAATTTTACTGGCAGTTGTGGCGGAAATTTTTGTTGGTCTACCGGACGATGGCTTTTTTTTTTTTTTAAATTTATATCCTTTTCCTGGTTTATAGAGTTCAACTACCTTCTCTCACAGGTCCTTCTCTTGACAGTTCTGCTGCTTTCCCCATGGCTCAGTATCCAGCAAAGTCAGTGCAGCACTGGATGAAATATGCAGAGGTCTGTCAAGAGCCCAGAGACTCAGACGCCATTTACACGTTGCCGGCTATTTTCATAAAAGGACATTTCACCGTCTCCGTTTTCAAAAAGATCTTCATTTACACTTACCCGTGTATATATACACAAGAGCATGCCAAACCTGTAGGTGGCAGTGTAACGAGAAGCTCAAGCCTTCCATGTATCCATTGTCACCATAGCAACATAGGTCGCATTTTTTACACAGGCGCAAGTTCCGGCGCATACTATGACGTGGGCTGCCTATAACTCCGTTTATCTCCGTTTATCTCAGTTTACATGCAAACGCGCAACCGGAGTTTTCCAAAATCTCCACTCTGGCCGGAGTTTTTAGAAAGACTCGTTTTCAGAGGAGAAATCTCCGTTTGCGTGTAAACGAAGGGCACAAACGAAGGAAGATGTCTCCGTTTATCAAAATCACCGTGTATGTGTAAACGGCCTCTCACTGACTTTTTATGCACAGACACTAATTACAAGCAAAGAGGTCACAGGTGTGGACAGTTACCCTTAATAACCATTTAAACCTGCATGTGTCAACTTGGTGTACATTATCACCCTAAAACTTCAAGGGTATGTAAACTTTTGATCAGGGCCATTTGGATGGTTCCACTTGTCATAATTTAAAGAGAGCAAACACAATTGTGTGATAATAAATAGCTTTGCTCGACTGCACCCTGAAAGAAAGAAAAGTTTCACAAATTCTGCCAAGGTATGTAAACTTATGAGCACAACTGTGTGTGTGTGTGTATATACACATATATATAGATATAGATATATATCGTGTAAAAAATGTGTTAGTCATTTATTCATTGTAACTTCCGTCCCTCTATCCATCTTTATTAATCTGCTCTCTCTCCCTCTCACTCTCACTAGATATTCACCTGTCCATCATGTAGAAATGCGTTCTGTATGGAGTGTGATCTCTTCATCCATGACTCACTGCACTGCTGCCCCTGCTGTATTCACAATCTGAGCACCTCCTGAAGCTGAGTGACTAACTGTCAGACTGAGACTGAAATACTCATTGGTCATCTGCCCTTACTGGCTCATCATATCTGTCCTGTTAGTGCTGTCTGCCTCTGATAGCGTGGATATGATGCACACAGTCAATCTGTGGACCACCCAAATGGTTATATTCCAAAGGTGTTGAAGACTGGCACAAAAATGGACAATTCTGGTCAACCCATATCGTTTAAAGGTGGAAGCAGTGCTTAATATTTGACAGAAATGGTCTGTGTGCATTGTTTATATAGTTTTGTACTACAGTTGTGTGTGACATGACAGTTACAATAAAATATAATTTCTTTTGTACTTATTAAAATGCTTTAACCAGTCAGACATTTTGTTGCATAGTTTCAAAGCAGGCCATTATCCATTTACCCAGATTTCCCATTATCAGGTCCCAAGTCTTGTATTTTCTATGCTAAATTTAGGGTTAGAAGCAGGGCTGTAGCCAGTAGGGGATTTGATGTGGGAGGAGGGGGGAAGCCACCCCCCCTTGTTAGCTATTATCAAAATGCATCCCCCTTTCCCTCTCCATCCCTCGGGTCTAGACTCAGATGCTGTCCTATCCATCTGCCCTGTTATAAATGAACAAATAGCCTGTTGGCTGTAGCTTTCATCAAGAAAGCTGGGAGTCTGTCTGGTATTTTTATGGAAACTTGTAGTTAAGCTCCCCCATGTTTCACAAGTTTACATTTTACAGTTAAAAATGTATACATTGCAGATATTTGATAAGTTGATTCTTTGATGACTCATATTTAAATTGGACTATTTTTCTACCAAATATAAGAAATAATCACAATTCCCCCATCAGAATGTTATTCCTGGCATTGAGTTAAAAAATAATGAGGATGCATTGAGATGCTTAACCCTTGACCTTAGTATTTTTTAAACAGATTTTAATTGTATCATTTTCAGGGGATAACAGGAGTGGTGGGTGATTTTTTTTAGCAGAATTAAATTGACATTGAAGAAGTTAGGGTTAAAGAGGAACTTAACCCATTTTCAGAATTCATACCCAGTATTCTTATGGTCTCAGACAGTGCAAAAAATATCAGTAAACATGAACAAATGTCTCCCAATCCAAAAACTAGAGTACTAAGACTTGTTGCGGGTATAAAGACTGAACCTGCTCCACAGACTGTGAATGGTGAACAATGCTCTAGATGACACTGGGCGCAGCCAGGGGAATGTTCTGAATATATGAGAACATTTTCGGTTCCTCAACTGAGAACACTCTAACAGAATGAATCTCAGGTGGGTATAAAAAGAAAGGAACATTCTATGAAGTCTCCCTTCATTGTCTATGGAGCAGCTCCAGACTTTATAGCCTACATAATGAAATCACAAGTTTGAGACTTAGGCCTACGTCTCTGGTTTCTGGCTTTAAGAAGTAATTAGCTCATGTTCACAAGTATTTACTGGACTTTTTTAGGCCACAGAAATGATATTGGAATTCTTATTTAAGGTGGAGTTTCCCTTTAACTCCATAAGAGGGCAGTAATGTAAGGACACGATTGTGAGCTGCCGTGAAACTTGAAGAGGAACAAGAACTTGTCTTTTCTAACATTTGTCGGCGGGAAGCTGCGGTAATAACACAACTCACAATGTCCCGCATATTGAACAGTATCGTGGCGGTATGTCCTGACCTGGGGATCGGGAATAATGGAAACTTGCCCTGGCATCCTGTTAGACTCAAGTAAGTCACGTTAATGGCGGACTTTGTTAATGTGGAAATGATAAAACCTTGAAATAAAGGCTTCAGCACGCTGTTCTGCTGAGCTCGAGACGAGTGTTTACACAACGAAGAGCACGAGACTAAAGCTCGCGTGCAGCCGTGAGCTATGAATGCATTAACTTTATCAAATTTGAATTATATGTTTTTTCTTTTATAGTAACGAATTCAGACATTTCCGAAAGATGACATCGACGCCATCTGAGAAAGGTAACTAAAGTTCACCTTGTTTTGGGATTAATTTAAATCATAGTGGTACCCTAATGTTACTAGCTGTAACATATGATGTTCCCTCTCCTTTGTAAAAAGAGCACCTCAATGCAATTAAAAACATAATTTAAGAGCGAGAGAGTAGAAAATATTAACACGCTAAAAATACTAAGACATGTATAAAACAAGAATAAAAGTAATGATGCACAGTATTCGATTTTTTGGCTATATCCCATATGCCAATATATTTAAAACAACTTATTTTGCTGACAACTAATACAGATATGGAAATATCCACTTTTTAACCCCCCTAATTTAAGTGATCATCAAGTCTCCTCTCTAGCGGAATTAACATCATATTATGCATGCATACTCTTAGTGTGATGGCCCACCAGCAGATGGAGACATGAAATAGAATGCTTTTCAGTGAATGTAATTTTTATTCATTGTGCAAAATAAAAAGCATGTTTGCTGATTCTGGCAGTTAATTTTAAAGCCAATTTCAGCCAGTACCAAGCAGATAATATCGTGCATCCCTAAATACAAGTTGAGTGCGGTGTAAGAAGTGATTAGCCTAGATATTAGATTTAAAAAAGGCAGCAGCAAAAAGAAAAGTCAGATTTAAAAGAACATAGAGTTGCAGCAGACCTGCAGTTTTATGGGAGTTTGTTCCCAGATATGTGGTGTATAAATACTAAATGCTGTTTCTCCATGTTACGTTTTGACTTTGAGGACACAAAGCAGACTTGTCCCTGAAGACTTGAGAGGTCTGGATGGCTCATACTGTAGCAGAAGGTCAGAAATGTATTTTGGCCCTAAATCAATCAGTGCTTTCTAAACCAACAATAGTATTTTGACGCTGGTTCTCTGAGAGACAGGGCGGCAGTAGATCAGTCCGTAGGGACTTGGCTTGGGAACCAGAGGGTCGCCAACTCAAGTCTCCATACAATCCAAGTATAGAGTGTGGACTGGTAGCTGGAGAAGTGCCAGCTAGCCTCTGGGCAATGCCGAGGTGCCCTTGAGCAAGGCAACCGCTTGGGGTGCCTGTCCAATGCAGTCCTCTCATTCTGACATCTCTCCATTTAATGCATGTATAGTTACTGTTTGTTCATTTCAGGCCTGTGTGTATATGACAACAGGGTGAAACAAATTGAATTTCCCCTCTGGGATTAATTAAGTATTTTCTTTTTAAGACAGGAAGCCAGTGTAAAAACCTCAGACCTGGAGTGATATGATTCACTTTCTCGGTGGTAATGAGGGTTTGAGCAGCAGCATTCTGAATCAGTTGCAGCTGTTAGATTGATTTTTTTTTTTTTTTTTTTTTTTTTTTTAAACAGTAGTTTTCTACTGAAGATAGATGCATTCCTCACTCTGACACAGATCTTTGCACTCACTAAAACTATAAACACCAGCTCACCCACTGCTCTTTGCCCTTTGAAACTCATTAACAGGAATGGAGCAGGGCCCAGTTGGGCCCGCATGGAGGTCTTTGTATGTACCCATGTCTACTATTTTATTTTGTACATGCTAGGCCTTGCAATCGGATTCACTGTTGGTAACCACTGGAGGGGAAGGCAGCGGAAGAGACCATGTCCTCCTGGAGTGTGCCCTAAGACACACTGGGGGATTGCAGCTGGCTGTTCAGAGACAGTCTACAACAGTTGCTGCTGTTGTACTGTCTGATGGCAGCGGACATATTTGAGCACCTGAAGCACTCCGTTTTGCACCAGGGTGTCATGATCTAGTGGCTGAATGAGCTGCCCAGCATGTTCTGCCACAGCTCCTCGTATCGAGGATGAGAGGAGTTATCTTGGATGGCTTTGATTGTTCATTCCCCTCTCCGCACTGCCTTCAGACTGTCCAGCTCCTGAAAACACAGCTGGCTTTCTTTACTAACTTGTTGAGTCTGCTGGCCTCACCAGCTTAATGCCACTACCCCAACAGGGCACTGGCTACTGCAGACCTTTAAAAGGTCTGCAGCAGCCTTGTGCACACACCAAAGGATATGAGTCTTCTCAGGAAGAACAGACTGTTCTGTCCCCTCCTGACAGGGGGTGCTGGTATTTTGAGTCCATTCCAGCTTATTCTGGATTTAAACCCTAGGGTACTTGTAGGAGTCCAGCCTCTCCACTTCCTCCCTCTGGATGGTAACTGGGACATGGGGCCTCCTGTTTTTCTGGTAGTCCACGACCAGCTCTTTGGTCTTGATATTGAGCTTCAGGTGATTTTTAGTGCACCATGTGACAAAGCATTCTCTAGCCCCTTTCCCACCAAAAAAACCAAAAGCAAAAATACACTAACACCCACTAACATCTGTTTTTGTATGTAATGGAAAGCCTGCGATTGGTATTCACATCTGGATCAGGTGACTCTGCAATAGTCACAGGTATTTTACTGACTCCACTCCTGCGCCAATTGGCAGTGATGGAAACCCAACATGAACGTGTTAATTTTAGCCCTTTAAACGGGAGATGCATTGACGCACCACCACAAAACACCACCTGTCTCCGCCAAAGCAGCCATCAAGCATCATGCCAAATTAGTCTGTTCTGAGCTTGAAAGACAGACTGAATACGTAAGAGATGTATAAAAAGAGGTGACCACTGTAACAGTTTTCACTGGCCTCTATGTTGCTTTCTACTGTTTACTAAGCTGTTTTCCAGCTTATCAGTGATGTTGAATGTGACACTAAACAAAAACAAATGCATGCTTGTTGACAGCAGAGCTGTATACATGGCTTTAGTCTACTGGCAATGGGAAAGAAGTCTTTAGTCTATTTAACCATGTTGTTGTTGTTTTTTTTAAAAAAAACAAAACAAAACACATACTCGTGCTAATTTTGTGGAAAGGGGGTATATGAGTCCTCTGTACTCCTCCTTGTCTGTGCTGATGCATCCAACAATGGAGGAGTCTTCTGACTGAAACACTGACCAATAAGAGCCAACTGGCCTTCTCGAAAGGAGGGTATTAAGGAGACAGGCACTAAAACAGACTATGCGACAGAGGGTGATTACAGGTACTGCAGCATTAGACAAAATTATGTATTTATTTAACATAAAGGCATGTACACATCTTCTAGTAGACTTGCACAATAAGCGCATGAACCTGAAAATGATGTTAATATGTCACCTATAAAGATGTAAACAGGTGGGACTTTACCAGCGGTGAAGGAGTGTTTGCTACTAATTAATTCAAACCTTGCTGTCCTACAGGCAAGCAGAATGTGGTGATCATGGGTAGGAAAACGTGGTTTTCCATCCCAGAGAAGAACAGACCTCTAAACAACAGGATCAACATCATCCTTAGCAGGGAGCTCAAGTATGTAGCGCACACAGTTAATACTTTGAATCACCCAATAATGGAATCATTTTCTG